CTCTGCTGCCCAGACTGGAGTGCAGTGCGTCATTTCAGCTCACTGCAGCCTTGAACTCCTGGGCTCAAGCGGATCCTTTCACCTCAGCCTCCCGAGTAGACAGATGTCATTTGCAGTGGATGACAAACGTGACTTGGTGTCGGGCAATTTGTGTACATCGTGTTTTAAAGAATCCATGTACTTCCCTGTTTGCCTCTGTGGCTGGCAGACTTATTATTTCTGTTCTAGATGCTCAGAGGTGTTTCACTAGTTCAGTGCTACTGTCCAGAGGGAGTGGGTCCAGGCAGCGAGGCATTGTCAGTGGTATGAACCAGGTGAACAGCTCGACCTTCATGCACCAAATATTTATTGAGTGCCTGTTGTGTGACAAGTCCTGTTCATGGAGGCCCTGGGGTTCAGTGGTGAAGTCCTGTCAGGTTCCCTGCCCTCACTGAGCTTACCTAGTGGAGGGACACATGAGGTCCTGAGAATACTGATGGTGATTGGGGTGGGGTAAGCTACCTTAAGTTGTATGGAAAGATCCATAAGGGAGGTGACTTTTGTGTCAATGCCTCTATGACAAGAAGCTAGCCATGCAAAGTTGTGGGAAAAGAACATTTGATACAGAATGAAGTGGAAGTGTGAAGACCTTGAGGAAGGTTCAGTGTTTATGGCTAGTGTATAATGAAAAAGGAAGAAAGCAATAGGAGTTAGGGTGTAGCTGTAGGCAGGGGCCAGATCACATTTGGCTTCATAGTTCCTGATAAGAGGCTGGATTTTATTATCATTGGGACATTGCAAGCCATTTACAGGTGACTCATGGATTTTTTTTTATTTGTCTCTTTGCTATCATGAACATAGCCCTTTATAACCCTTTAACAGCTTTTGGTTACAGTATTCTTTGAATGGCAAGGAAAAGAAATAAGTCATCTATAAAGTGGGAATAGTAGAGAAAAAGAAAACGAAATAAGTCGCCTGGCATTGTTCAGATTCAAAAGTAGCTTTTTTTTTCTTTTCTTTTTCTTTTTATGCCTGTTGTCTTAAGAAATAGTGTACCTTCTCAGTTGGCTTTTATCCATTTTGACAAGGAACAATTGAAGGGAAAATAACAGTAGTAATTGTTCCCATTCTATTGAAGACGTAGGACAGACCCTCTGCCTTCTTGCATTTAATCCTGGCAGAAATTTTATATTATTTTTCTTATTGCTTTACTGATGGGGAAACAGGCTAAGAGTGGGTAAGAAATCTTCGAAAAGTCTCACAGCTAAATGGTAGAGGAGTCGGGATGTGAAGTAGAGAGGTCAGATTCCCCACTCTGTCCACCTCTCCTCTATGTCTCTGCTGTACATGAGGCTTGCTTTTGGTTTTCACTTTGTACATAGGGCTCCATGTATCTTTGGATACTAGTGTATCCTCCCTCAACCAGATATTATCTTAAGGAAATTCTTGTTTTATCTTTGCCTATGCTCTGATTCTAACTGCTGAGAGGAACAACTTAAATAAGGTGGGGTCCATGGAGCTGTTAATGTATATATATGGAGTTTGTCTAATCTGCTGAATGGGGGAAGCCAGAAGTCCTGCAGGCGCCTGGCGTGGTGGTTTGTCAGTGTGAAGTCCCTTGATGTTAGACAGGGGTGAACCTCGATTTGTGAGTACCTTTTGAAGTTCCCAGTGACAGCTTTGTCCTGTTTCTTCCCTCTAGGAAACATAGGAATGCAAGTGGTCAAAAATAAGATTGACCTCTTTATTTATTTTTTTTTTTAAAATCACAAAATGGAGTGCCTGTTACCAATAACAGCTTCCTTGCGACACACCCCCAGCTGTCCGATCCTCCTCCAGTTGCCCAGAGATTTGCTTTTGTCAGCAGTCTGAGGTAATAAGCCCCTGAACGACTGAGTCATGCTAACTAAAATTCAAGTGAGACTGAGGAGTGAGAATGCCAGTTTATTGCCCTACAGGGAGAAGTATCGCTGTCACCAAGCTCCACTTTGGGCACAGGCAGTAAATCCTGCCTCTGTAGTCCAGCCTCAAGAGGAGCTGCGTGTAAACAGGAGCTGTCTTTATGAGCTGCCAGAATAAGTCACAGTCACAGGGTCTCCATTCCGGGTGGGGGTAGGACTGCTTGGGAGTCACGGGGTTTCTTGTTTAGCAAGAAATCAGAATAAGGAAATTAAATGAGTGGCATCTGTGATGGCTTCAGGCCCGGACAGCCTGATGTGTTTGTCGCCGTGTTTGGCATGCCTTCTCAGTGGCACTTGAACATCCTTGGCTAACGTGTCTCTTTCCTGGGCAGTGTGAAGGATGGGCGTCGTCACTGTTTGCCTCTGTGGCGGTTCCCTTCCGCATAGTCTGTCTTTGATGGCTAGATCTGGTCCTGCCAGTCGCCCCGTCTTCCCGTTCAGGGGACGCTTGTTTGGGGTGCAGCCTTCACAGTCTGCTCTTCTCGTCTGTACCTCCCAGGGGCACTCTTTGTCCTCCGTCAAAACTGGAGCTCTCAGGTGTTTTCAGTAGGAGTAGGTAAGAGGTTTTCTGTATTTTAAAAGGCAGTGTTGATTGATGCTCAGGGATTCGAATACTTCATCATTTTGTTTTGGAACCATTAGCTTGATGGCTAAGGGATGGCTTTGGCGGAGCCAGTGATTCAATTCAGCAACCTGTGCTGAGTGTTCTGAGTGGGGGGTGTTGGAGGTGGTGGGGACCCAGACTTGGAATGATAGTTTTTGATAGTTTTTGATAGTTTTGATAGTTTTGATAGTTTTTGTGTTCAGGGATCTTACCAGGAGATGAACACACACACAGTCGCACGCATGACATGCTGTGGTAGAGGGCACGTGTGAGGTATAGCTATGACAGAAGGGAGTGTGTGAGGCACTTTGCCTGCGAGGCCAGCGGAGACTTCAGAGGCGGTGCCTGATGCAGACGTGGAAGGACGGTGGGGTTCACCTGGCGGTCGGGGGAGAGGGCACTCCTAGCAGAGAGGCCAGATCTGCAGTCGTAGGCACGTGAAAAGCTTTCCTCCTACAAACACGGGGCATGTGGGCACTGCAGGAGCAGATTTAGATACCGTCCCCTGCACTCCCACCCCCACCAGGCAGAAGCAAAGACATATCAAAGCAAAATGCAAACATTTTCTTTTGCTAAGGACCCTTTCAGGATGACCAGGCCGCACAGAATGCCAGTGTCCAGCAGCAGAGTCCACATTTCACCACATTTATTCCTGCGTGTCCATCTGTAGCTCGTCTGTCCTGGAGGTGGCGAGTGTGGTGAAGGGGCCACCTTGGCCGTCGTTTTGCTGATGTGCCTTACCCTGCTCTGTGTGTGTCTTCCCCACAGTGTCGCACCCTGGCCTGGCTGGCTTTCGGCCAGCTGTCCTGGGGAGCATCTGGGTTTGTGGCTGAGGGGCAGGCGTGGTGGGCGTCACAGTGGTTTTCCTGTGAAATGGTGATTTTTCAGAGGGTTCTGTGCAGTGAGGACAGCTGCGTAGCTCAAATCTCTGCCTAAGCTCTCAGGGCCCACTTGTCTACCCACCCATCCAGAGAATCTCCAGGGATGAAAGGTGTTACTGATGATTGTAAAGGCAAAAATGGGATTGAGAATTCATTGCACACAGGATTATTTTGGGGGCCAGCCTAAGGAACTTCCTTAATTTCTGTGATTCAGACATTGTTTTAGTGTTCAAATATTTATATGTGCTAGTCAGGCTGACTCCCCGAGTCCTTTGCGGTAGTTCTTTGACTAGCTATATTGGATTTATAGTCACTAATGTTATCACATGTTTTTATTAACAGTACTTTCTAGTTACAAACCCTTAATGCTGGTTTTACACTGATAACATACACAACGTTTTTGTATTGACAACACACTTATTAACTTACCCTGGCTCTGGCCTGTAGGGTGCAAGGTGGATTATTATAGTTACAAGCAAATGCTCCCAGGTCTGCCTGTCCCTGTATTAGTTGTTGACAGCGTCAGGAGACTAGGAGACACCTGCCATCAGCGGGTGCCCTTCTTCCACAGGTGAACAGTGACAAGTGGCAGGTAGAGTGACAGTGAAAGAAAGCTCCTTGTCAAGGGCCACCCGTGTGGCTTCTTGTCTGTAATTCCTGTATGGAATTTGTCAGCTAGAGACGAAGGCTCTGTAATGTTTATCATGAAACACGTCAAATATAGAAAATGATGTAGGATAATATGAAACTCATTTTAAAGGGAGTAAATGCCATCATTTCTGTAGCATGAATAGAAGCTCATGCTAGTATCTTATCTGTTAAGGAAATGAGCTAATCACACCAGTACGTTTCAAAGTTGATAACCAATTGCCAAACTTCGGGCAAAATTTTAGCCCCTTAAATCTAGTCTAGCAGGTGGGTTGCAAGAAAGCTGGTCCAGCTCGGGATGGAGACAGGGTGGCCACCTCCTCTGGCCTCAGGCCTGAGTCAGCTGCCTTTCTGTGTGCCCTTGTGCCCCCTTCCTCATACCCAGTCACTGCGTCCCGTGGCAGCTGCTTCTTTAGTGTTGTCCCTCTGGATCTGCAAGTGTCCGCCTTGGAGGCTGGGGCTGCCTGGCAGGAGCTGTGGCCTTGGGCACAGTCACTTCAGGTGACCTGGGAGGGGAGCTTGCCCTGTGAGCACTAGGCCTGCAACTCTAATACAGACCTGGCCACGTGTGGCTATTTCAAACTAATTACATTTAAATGAAATCTAAGACTGAGATCCTCAGCTGCCCTGTATGGTGACTGCAGCCCCATGCAGAGCTGCTCCATCCTGGCAGAGTGCTCCCCAGCCGGCCACGATTCACACTGGTGCCTTCGGGAAAGAGCCCAGGGGTGGCAGGTTCAGCGTTCTGTCCTCAAAACCTAGGGTCTTGTAGGTGCTCGAGGATTATTTGTTAAATAAATAACCCGTATTTATTTCTTATATGTGTTATATGCAAACCAGGAACCAAATGTTAGTTTTGTTAATTGTTACTTGAAATCTGATAAGTGAAGTTTCATAATACAGTTTTTCTCTTTCCCTCCTGTCAAGTATCGTGATATTGGTTGGACTTCAAGCTCTCTGTGAATCTTCAAATCTTACCCCGAAAATGGAAAACATGGTGGGGGCCTTCCCGGGCCCTTTCGGCTGTTGCTGATGGCAGGAGCCAAGCTCACCTGCAGTCCACTCGCAGCCCTTCAGTGTCAGCTCCGCTCGCGTCGAGCTGGCCATGGATGGCGTGGCAGCCGAACAGGATGGCCCCTTGGAGGACACACCCGGCAGGGGCGCATCAGCTTCCCCGGAGGCCCCCCTGAAGCCCGGGGGCTCGCCGGCCCTGCCTGACATGTGGGACAAGGCCCAGAGTAAGTCGTGGGGTCGCTGTGTGCTGCTGGACGGGAGGACACATCGGCTTGTGTTTTGGGGGACATTCAGAGTGTGCTCTGGTGACCTGATGCATGTTTTCTCTCAGTTGGTGCTAACTTTGGATCAAGCACCGTTTGTATTAAACAGAATACGAACCGCCTAGTGGTTGTGTTTTCCTGAAGGTGTCTGTGGGTCTTCACTGACCCACAGTGGTGTTGCTCGCTGCCTAAATGTCTGCCTTTTTGGTTGGTCACTTGCTAAGTTCTGATAACTGGAATTCAGACGTGATCCAATAGAGATCTAAGGGTTATTGAATCACATTTCTATGGTAGTGGCTGGGGCGTGTCATGGCCCTTCCTGGTCATGAGGTATCAGTGCAGCATTGGCCTTAAACTGCAGATTATAGATGTAGTAATTTACTAACAGGCCGACACAGTGGCTCACGCCTGTAATCCTAGCACTCTGGGAGGCTGAGGCGGGCGGATTGTTTGAGCTCAGGAGTTCAAGACATGCCTGAGCAAAAGCGAGACCTCGTCTCTACTAAAAAAAAAAAAAATAAAAGGAAATTAGCTGGACAACTAAAAATATATAGAAAAGCTAGGCTGGTGGTACCTGCCTGTAGTCCCAGCTACTTGGGAGGCTGAGGCAGGAGATTGCTTGAGCCCAGGAGTTTAAGGTTATTGTGAGCTAGGCTGACACCACGGCACTCTAGCCCGGGCAACAGAGTGACACTCTGTCTCAAAAAATAAAAAAAAAGAAGTGATGCATGTAAAATGCCCAGAGCATGGCAAGTGTCCAGGCAGTGGTGGTAGCCATTTTTGTCACCTTATCATCCTTGTTTGTTTATCCGTAGTTAGGCCTATGTTTGTAAACAATAGAGTCTTACTGTTTATTGGGCCTTTTTACTTTTAGATTTTTTTAAAAATTGCAATATGATTCTCAGAAAAACACTTTGTTGAGTAAACAGGAAGGAATCCATCAGAAAGTGGCATTAACCCAATTCCCTCGTATGTGACCTGCAGTGGGACTGACGCAGTCGTTTGTGAGAGTCGTTTGTAGAGAACAGCTGCTGTCTCAGGGCAGCGACTGGGTCCCCTTGCTCTGCTTCCTGTCTGTGGCACCCATTTGTATCTGGTGTATCTTCCGGGGAGGCATGACAGTAAACAGCTGTTTTAGTTGGGATTCACATTTGCAAGCGACAAAAACCCATTTTTAATTTGCTTGCGCACAGGGGGAATTTCCGGGATGTGTACTGGGTAGGTCATGGGGTCCAAGTGACGCCAACCCTGCGAGAGCTCAGGGCCTTGCTGGGCCTCGGGGCCCGCTGGAGCCAGGCTCGGACCCCGCAGGCCTCCTCACACCATTCTGGCCTTTGCTGACTGGCTTACCAGCCAGGGGGAAGGGGATGACTGAGAATCATTTACTTGCAGTAAGTCCTTCTTCCTTTTTTTCCATTTGATGAGGAAATATGTTATTAGTTTGCGTAGTGAGTAATTCTGTGTATAACAATGTTAATGGGTTAGCCTAAGTTTAATACGTGAGTACAGAGTCGTCATTGGTTAAACTTGAGTTTCTACCTAACTGGTGGCCTTCAAGCAGAAGGAAAGTCCTGGGTTCTGTGCTTAGCTTTGCCAGAATTGTTCAGATCAGATGATCGACCCATTTGCCTTAGATTTCTCATATTGAAGGATAAACTTATGCTTTGGAATGACTTTGAATTCAGGCCTTCGTAAATGTGACTGTGATTAGTACTGCTGTTACCAATTCTTGTTAAAAAAAATGTCAGTTATGTTTTAAGCTTTCATGTTTTTTTTTGCTTTTTTTTTGAGACAGAGTCTTACTCTGTCTCCCAGGCTAGAGTGCAGTGTTGTCATCGTAGCTCACAACAACCTCAAACTCCTGGGCTCAAGTCATCCTGCTGCCTCAGCCTCCCAAGAAGCTGGGACTACAGGCACGTGCCACCACACCCGGCTAATTTTTCTAATTTTTGTTGAGACAAGGTCTTACGGTATTGCCCAGGCTGGTCTCAAACTTCTGGCCTCAAGCCATCTTCCCACCTCGGCCTTCCAGGCCAAGTGCTAGGATTACAAGTGGGAGACTTTGCCCAGCCCCTTTTTGCTATAAGTAAAAGCAGACTTTCACAACGTTTGTTACTGGTCTTATGGAAATGAAAGGGAAACGCCACTACTTAAGTTCCACAACCGTAGTGCGGAGGGTGAGGCCATTTTACAGGTGAGGACGCTGGGGCCCAGAGCAGTGGGGAGACCTGTCCCAAGTCACCCTGCCTGCAGGAGGAGAGGCGGGGCATGCTCTTCTCTCGGAGTGAGCGTGTTTATGAGACGTGGAAATGCTGGTGCTCAGGTATCCAGATTCTTCTCTGTCCTATGTTAGCTGCGTGTCTGAAAAACGACGTGATCGTGTTGTCAGAACCGCGGTGGCCCAGCGTGCTCTCTCTTTCCAGGTGCCGGTGTCGAGGTAAACAGGACTTCCAAGAAAGGAGAAAGCCCGCATGGACCTGGCCAGGGCGGCCTCTGCCAGAACGGGCCAACGCCGCAGCTCCCAGACCCACCACTGTCTCTCAGTCCCACCACAAGCCCAGTGGTTCCAGATGCCTCTCCAGGTGTGGCTGGTTTCCATGACAACCTAAGGAAGTCTCAGGGAACTAGTGCTGAGGGCAGTGTTAGAAAAGAAGCTTTGCAGTCTCTCAGCCTCAGTCTTCCTATGCAAGAAACGCAACTGTGTAAGCATCTGTTCTCCGCCGGGCCCCCCTCCCCGGGTCAGCGCCGCCAGCCCCCCAGAGCCTTGCCCCCAGCACCTGCTGTCTGAGCAGGCGCCTCCCGTTGCCACGCGCCACCTTGGGGCTGTGGTGGGCTGTGTGTGGAACGAGGCAGCTTCGTTCTAAGGACTGAAATACACTCGGCAGTTGAGGCTCCTCTGCAGCCTGGTGTTGGCAGTGGCACTGAAGCCCTTGCTGCTAAGGCCAGCCTTCCTGTCCTTTGTCACCGCGTGGTTAGTGAGCAGACTGTGGAGGACCAGTCCTGAGACAGTTTACTTGGAGGTGTCATTGCTTGGAGGTGTCATTGATGAATTATTTTAACTTTTCTTTTTAAGAGACGAGTCTTGCTATGTTGCCCAGGCTGGTCTCCTGGTCTCAAGTGATCCTCCTGCCTCAGCCTCCTGGAATGAATTAATTTAATCAGCATTTACTTTGTGCTGATCTCAAAGATGAACCAACCACACTCTAGCAGCCTGTGGGCCCTAGAAGCCTTGAGACCTTTTTCTGACCATTGCTTTTCATGAATGCACACGTGTGTAACTTTACATAACGAGGCCGTATCAGACGTGCCGTTCTCACCCCTCATCCCCTTCGTGCCTCATTCCTCCCCACGGGACCCCTTGTAGGACTCTTAAACATACCCAGGTTTTTGGTCCTTGTTTTTTAAAATGGGATTGTAGTGCTCACATGACCGCATGTTGTCCCCACTTAGCTCGATCACAGGGAGACTGCTGCGTTGCCTGACGTAGCTGTGACCCGATCTTGCTGTGTGGCTGGGTCAGTGCTCTGCGGCCACACCCCAGAGCAGACCGGCTTGGTCTGGGCCACGAGCACCCTTGGGGCCAGCCCGTGTGGTGACACGGCCACCAGTAACCCCTAAGGACACTTTCTCCCATGCCCCACCAGCAGATAGACTCTCTCTCTCTTTCTTTTTAATTTTCACCAGTCTGATGGGTCTGAGAGGGTACTTCATTGTTACTTTTTTTTTTTTTTGAGACTGAGTCTCATTTTGTTGCCCAGGCTAGAGTGAGTGCCATGGCGTCAGCCTAGCTCACAGCAACCTCAGACTCCTGGGCTCAAACAATCCTGCTGCCTCAGCCCCCTGAGTAGCTGGGACTACAGGCATGCGCCACCATGCCTGGCTCATTTTCTATATATATTAGTTGGCCAATGAATTTCTTTCTATTTATAGTAGAGACGGGGTCTTACTCTTGCTCAGGCTGGTTTTGAACTCCTGACCTCGAGCAGTCCGCCCGCCTCAGCCTCCCAAAGTGCTAGGATTACAGGCGTGAGCCACCACGCCCGGCCTTGTTACTTTAAGTATTAGAGGATTACATGAGGATGCGAACATCTCTTTATCTGTTTGGTGGCTATTTGGACACTCTTTTCTGTGAATTGTCTCTTTATATGTTTGCCCATTTTTATTATGTATTGTTTGCCTCTTTCTTCATGGGCATTATTTTTTTAAGGCTGCAGTGTAGTTTTTTGTTTGTTTTTGTTTTTTGAGACAGGGTCTCGCTCTGTTTCCTAGGCTGTAATGCAGTGGTGCGGTCATAGTTCACTACAGCCTTGAACTTCCTGGCCTCAAGGATCCTCCTGCCTCAGCCTCCTGAGTAGCTGGGACTACAGGTGTGCACCACTACGCCCCGCTAATTTTTTAAATTTTTAGTAGAGACGGGGTCTCGCTATGTTGCCTAGGCTGATCTTGAGCTCCTGGCATCAAGTGACTCTTCTGCCTTGCCCTCCCAAAGTGCTGGGATTACAGGTGTGAGCCATAACAGTGGTGAATTTTTAGTGAACTACTTGGGCCTGCTCAGATTTTAGGGATTATTACAGCAATAGCTGCTTACCTCCTCATTATCCATGTCTAAAGAGGGTGCCACACATAAGTTGCTAAATGGTCTCACTTGTCTACCTGGTCGACATTTAGACCATCCTGCGGTGTTCCGTGTCACATCTGTGGATGTGCTGAAGAAGGATAAAGTCACAAGCCCGGTCCTGGGGAACTGGCTGCCCTGGGTGTAACTGTGACGCCTTTGCATGCTCTATTCAGCCCGTTAATTACCCAAAATAAAAGGTTTGGGTTTTAGATATTTTACACTATGTTTTTGGCTGCAAAGTTATCATTTCCTCCCCTTCCTGTCCTTGACCACAACCTCATCTCTCTGGAAACTGAGGTAAGCAGCCCCTGGCCCTCGGGGGCCGACACCTGCTCAGTCTTTCCTCTGCATCGAGTTCCAATGCCAGACTTTGGCAGTTTTATTCCTTAGGTAAACAGCGTCTGCTTACTGCTAGCTTGTATATGTGCTTTTTGTTTTTTGTTTGTAAATAATCATAATTTTGATTTACTCAATTCTTTTCTTTTTTAAATTTTTTTATTTTAGCATATTATGGGGGTACAAGTGCTAAGGTTACGTATATTGCCCATGCCTCCCCTCCGCCATTGAGTCAGAGCTTCAAGCATGTCCATCCCCCAAACGTTGCACATCTTACTCCTTGTGGTTGAATATACCCATCCCCTCCTCCCCCCTCCCACCCTCCTGACACCCGATAAATGTTATTTCTATATGTCCACTTAGGTGTTGATCGGTTAATACCACTTTGCTGGTGAGTACACGTGGTGCTTGTTTCCATTCTTGAGATACTTCACTTAGTAGAATGGGTTCCAGCTCTATCCAGGAATATACAAGAGGTGCTATATACATGCTTTTTGGATCTTAAGATGCTTTATTATAACATGACATTTTTGCAGGGATTGTGATAAGCTGTGGATCAAATTAGATCCCCAAGTGTAACTGCATAAAGAAAACATGCTTTCTGTCATGAGACCACATGATGGCCACGTGCCCATTGGTCATCGCTGAGTGGAATTCTATCACGACTGCCTTTAATGTATTCTTCACCTCCAGGTTGTGAGTAGCTTTGTGAGGTTAGCAGGGTGTCAGCTCAGCGAAAGTTGAGAATTTCTGTGCCTCAGAGCACTTAGCATTGACACTGACCTTAAATTCAATTTTTTTTGTTATTAAAGGACACTTTTTGGCCAGGTGTGGTGGTTCATATCTGTAATCCTAGCACTCTGGGAGGCCGAGACAGGAGGATTGCTTGAGGTCAGGAGTTTGAGACCAGCCTGAGCAAGAACGAGACCCCGTCTCTACCAAAAATAGAAAAAATTAGCTGGGCATGGTGGCTCCTGTGCCTGTAGTCCCATCTACTCAGGAGGCTGAAGCAGGAGGATCGCTTGAGCCCAGGAGTTTGAAGCTGCAGTGAGTTATGATGATGTCACTGCCCTCTAGCCAGGGCTGCAGACTGAGACTTTGTCTCAAAAAAAAGGCACTTGTTACCATCTCCTGTCTTACCACTGAATACCCACACAAGGTAGTTCACGCCATGAACACACACCCAGGTAGATCCTGTCTGTGGTCAGTGTCTAAGGCCCACAGTTTTCTCTTGATCTAGAATTGTTCTTCAAAACTCGGTGGCTGTATATCGCTTAGGCACTGAAACACATTGGTAATTAAATGCAAAACAACCAAGCTGCGGTTCTGATTTTTTTTTCACAAGTTTCTAAATGGTCATTTCTCACCACAGGCTCCACAGAGTCTCCACTGCCCCTGGAGAAGGAGGAGCAGGTCCGACGCCAGGCTCAGAAGCAGCTGGAAGAGCAGCTCAAGCAGTACCGAGTGAAGCGCCAGCAGGAGAGGGTGAGTATCCCTCTCCCGAAAAAGCTGACGCGAGGCCTGGGGTACCAGAGGCAGGAATTGGTCCCTTGTGACCCTGGAGCCTGCCGTGTGTGTCTCTGAGCCGGGACAGGCTCTGGTCTGCGCAGCTGCTGACTGCGCCACTCTCGTGTGGCTCCGCCTCTGCGGAGACCAGCGGGCGAAGGGTTCATGCCCCTCACCTGGTGCCGCTTCCGTTGGAACAAGCATGTTTTATTCCCACATCTGCCATTTGAAAAGCACAGAAAGTAAACACAGGCACGCCTCAGGGAAGATTCTGTTCCAACCACCATAAAAGAGCAAATATCACAAAGTGAGGCAGACAAATTTTTTGTTTCCCCAGTACATGTAAAAGTTTGTATTTGGTAAAATACAAAATTCCTGGTTGAAAAACACAAAACAAAACTACTACATTAGGAATAGAAGGATATTTCTTTACCACAGGGGTTGCAGTTCAGGTATCACATTTAAATGGTACAAAACGACGAGTAAAAGTCCCGTCCTATTTCTGGTCTCCTGTAAGCCATGGAAATGTCTTTATGCTTCTGTCTCTGCGGAGATCACCCGGTGAGAAACTGTCCTTTGTGCTTTGTCTGCACATCACCGTTTCACCCCCTGCACCCCGAGCTCTTCCGCCATCAGTGCAGACAGCTGGGGCCCACCTCACTCTTCGTACTAGCCTGTGTGTGCACCAGCATTTAATAGCCGGTCCAAGGGGATCAGCATTTTGGTGGCTTTCTAATTTTTGAAATTGCAAACAATACTGCAATGAATGTTTTATATCTTGATATACTTTTGTGGGTAGGTCCTTAAATTATCAAATTATTGAGGAAAAGGTGTTATGTATTTGTTATTTTAGGCTCTAATTAGGGTAGACTAGCTTATGCTCTGGCTGGCAGTGTATGAGACTGCCAGCTTCCTTATCCATGGCAGCGTTGGAAATAACAAAACTTGAATTTTTGTCCTTCTAGTAGGTGAAACAGATGGTACTTCCTAACACTGAGCATCTTTCATGTATTGGCAGTTGTGTTTCTGTCATAGTCTTTTCCCATTTTCTACCCGTCGTTTCTGCTGTGTAGGTGCCGCATAGATCAGGAACATGGCCCTTGTCAGTTCAGACTAAAAGTCTCGTTTCCCTGGATCTTTGTAATTTCTTTCAATTTCAAAATCAGAAGAATATAAATAAATTCCACAGTGTTTTCTTATATTTTTAAGATCTTAAAAAAATGTGTAATATAATCATCTGAAATGTTTGGTATTAAAGAGAGAGGCAGGGGTTGGGTCTCTTTGGACAGCTGGTGAGTCATCTCAGATTGCTTCTCCTGGGGTCTGGCTTTCCCCCGGGTTGCGGTCCTGCCTCATTGTGGCACTTCCAACCACCTACCCACCCCACCTGCGCCTAGGCGGGTTTTGCGCTGCGTACTTTTGTCTCCTCAGGCTGCCTGCTGCTTTTTAAGGCCTGTGTGGATCTCGTTATTGCAGATTTACGTCGTCCACAGCGAGTGTGGACCTGCGCTGCGCCCGTGGCCCCGCCCTTTACTGCGCTTTTCTAGCCGTCCCCGGCCATTTGTCCTAGGCACCTGCAGGGTCATTGGTGACGTTTCTCACTCACCCTCCTCTGTGTGCCCTGCCCGGTGGGATTGATTCTGTAGCATGGCCGGGACCACGAGGTCCTGGCAGAGAGGACACAGGGTGGGGCTGTCCTTTGTCCCGGTCTCGGGCCGCCTCGGTAACTAACGTCAGGAAAAGCAGCGAGTGAGGTGAACACAGAAAAGGAGGAGAAAGATGCGTTGTTTGCAGGTGTTGGTAACACCGTGGAAAACTCTAAAGGATCAGCTGAAAAAATTATTAGATTTAATTAGGGTTCAGAGAATTGTCAGTTAAAAAAAACAAGTATGAAAAATTAATAGTTATCCTAACACGATCAGTTATAAAATTAATGGGAAAAGATAACAGTTATAATAACAATAAAAACGGTCCGAGGGGTAAATTAAAATGGCAACAAAAAGGGCTTAGAATGCAGATAAAGAAGCTGAAGTAACGGCTTTGTTGAGAGACAGGCAAGCAGATAATAATCGAAGGGAAGCAGCCCAGTATTCCCTAAGTAATTATAAATTTAAGGTAGTTCTAATTCAAAAGGACATTTTTTTTTTAACTTGAAGAAAAATTTTTTTTCATGTTGATCTGAAAGAATAACCAGGAGAACAGCCAGGGAGGCTTTGTCAAGGGAGCACAATGACAGCATGACGCTCTTACACGTGTCTTAGAATGTTTCAGAGTCGCATTTGTTAACCAGGGTGCTTCTGGCCTGGGAATGGTCACCTAGTTAGCCGAGTGGTGAGACCTGAGGATCGGGGGCCTGGCTGCACGCTGCGTGGCAGGGGAGGGGAGGCAGATGCTCTCTGGTCACCAGTACAGGGGGTATTCATTGGTATAGCCTTTCTGAATGGCAGTTTTAGAAGGCTGCTTGTCAATTTTAAACATAATTTTTGTGCTTTTGTTTCCTTCTCAGTCCAGTCAACCTGCAACAAAAGCAAGACTTTTTAGCACACTTGATCCTGAGCTCATGTTAAACCCAGAACACTTACCAAGGGCCAATACGGTGGCTATGACAAAAGAATACTCCTTCCTGCGCACCAGTGTCCCTCGTGGGCCCAAGGTGGGCAGCTTAGGGCTCTTGGCACATCCTAAGGAGAAAAAAAGTTCAAAATCAAGCAAAATTCGGTCTCTGGCTGATTACAGAACTGAAGGTTCAGATGGTGGGAGCTCTGGTGGAAATGTTCCGGCTGGCGACTCTCCCAGGGGCGCCCTGAAGCAGAGCGGAAGCAGTGCGTCAGTTGTGTCTGAGATCAGCCTGCCTCCTGAGACCGATGACCGTCTGGAGAACGCCTCGCTGACCGGAGACAGCGTGTCCGAGGCTGATGGGAACGAGAGTGACAGCTCATCACACAGCAGTCTCTCCACCCGCGGGACCCATGGCATTCTGGTGAACACAGCGGGCACACGGGAAGCTCCCTACCTGGTCGACGGCCAGGAGATGGCTGACGCTCTGGGCCAGTTCCCCTCAATCAAGGATGTGCTCCTGGCCGCAGCAGCCGAGCAGCAAGACCAAGGGCAGGAAGTGAACGGAGAGGTGCAGAGCCGGAGAAACAGCATCTGTAGCAGGTAGGGCAGGTGAGGGCTGGGCGGGGTGGGTTGGAGGCGTGGTCTCAGACTCAGCTTCTCTGGACCGTGGCCTCTGTCACTGCAGCAAGCCGGTACTGTTTCTCATTTCTAATTTCATCTTTAGTCTTTTTTTTTTTTTTTTTTTTTTTTTTTTTTTTTTTTTTTTTTTGAGACAGAGTCTCACTCTGTTTCCCAGGCTAGAATGCCATGGTGTCAGCCTCGCTCACAGCAACCTCAAATTCCTGGGCTCAGGCGATCCTCCTGCCTCAGCCTCTTGAGTAGCTGAGATTATAGGCATGCGCCACCATGTCTGGCTAATTTTTTCTATATATTTTTAATTGGCCAATTAATTTATTTCTATTTTTAGTAGAGACGGAGTCTCGCTCTTGCTCAGGCTGGTTTTGAACTCTTGAGCTTGAGTGATCCGCCTACCTCAGCCTCCCAGAGTGCTAGGAGTACAGGTGTGAGCCACTGCACCCAGCCTCATCTTTAGTCTTGACATTAATATTTCATTCCTATACAACTCTGTCGCTTTTTGAGAAATAAATTAGATCGAATCAGCAATCGTCTGTGGTACTAACATATCCTGTCCTCCAATATTTACATAGACTGATCTCTGAAACTGCATGCGCACTTATGTGGGCTCACATTTCCAAAGGGCCCAGGCATGTATAAATGTATGACTGTTGGCAGGAGTGTTTATTGGCAGTGTACATATAAACTTGAGCTTTCTAGATAAATCTGTTGACTTAATTTTTAAAGCCATGGGAGGGAGTAGCGAGGGCGTGTGAAACTGGAGAGTGTGGAGGAAAGTTATGAAGTCACCATCACTCACATGTCCCTGGTCCTGCACTTTGTCCTTTAGCGTGTCCATGGAAAGCTCCGTTGCTGAGACTCAGGACGAAATGTTGCAGGTTCTCAAAGAAAAAATGAGACTTGAAGGACAGCTGGAAGCTTTATCATTAGAGGCTAGTCAGGTAACAGATATCTGATTCATGTTTTATTGTGCCATGCCTCTGAAAGAATGTGCAATTCCTTTGTTGGGTGCAGAGTTTTACGGACGGACATCTTTAATAATGAGCCGTATCAGCCAAGTCTTTCGCATCTTTACGTTTCTCTTCTGTTTCGTCTCTCTGTCGGCCTCAGACAGAGGTGTGTGAGTTTTCTGCTTTGGTTGTGAATGGTCAGTTTCTCCCGCATCTCAATCGGGGTTTGCCCAGAATATTTCCTGGATGTTAGGTACTTCACAGTCCAAAACAGTTAATTCTCTTGGTGGATGGCACCTTTTCCTGGTATGGTTAAAATCTTCATCTTTACTTCTTTAGTATGTTTTGCGATGGGGTTCTACTTTTTTGATATTATTTTTGCTGTATCTGGTTAGCATTTGCCAAAAAATCATTTTCCATCCCTTAATTTTCAGCTTTCCTTTGTCATTCTATTGTATGCACTTTTATCAATGGCGAAGAACTAGATTTTTATCTTTCTTTCAATGATTGAAGTAGATCAGTGCAGTGGAATCCGGCTGTCTGCTTTCGGCACAAGAGAGTGTGAGGATGCACCTGCAGCACAGGGGTGTGGCAGGAGGGCATCCTGGCAGTGAGCGTGCTGCAGGGCAGCGGAGGGGAGAGGAGCTGCCTGTGGTGAGAGGAGCCGGCTGTGCTGGATACACACTTTGTGTTTACGGCGGCTTTGTATGCAACATGGTCCTTGGACACAATCCGACCACCGTGTGGTGCATGAAACTGTCTGCTAAAATTTCAGTAACGTCAAGATTAATTTTGGTTGGGTACAGTTTTTACTTTACATACTACTTTAGAACGTAGCTCTCTCATCAGATGCATTTCCACTTCATCTAAATTCCATTCAGTCCCTTGGACAATCTAAGAGCTTGCTTTTACTTTATCTTCTTACCCCCCTGGGGTTACCGATGTGTGCTTTGGAGTGTCCAAGCCAAGGTCTTTGTGGGTTGCTGCGGGTGCAGTGCTTCCTGGCATCTCTGTGCAGGTGCCGGTTCTGCTTATTCTGAGATCTCATTAAGTTTGCTCAGTTCACTTGATGTCAACTGGGTGCGTGTTCTTCTGTGTGTTGGATTTGCTATTCGTCTTGAGGACGACGTGTGCATTCTGGGTTCCCGTGTACATCTCCCGCTGAGCTTGCAACGCTGGCATGCTGACGGGCGGGTGGGCGTGTGCCCTTTGCTCACTTCTTGTGGTGGTCTTTGCTGCTCCTGGGGCCTCTCCTCTCCCTCCCTGCCTCACCCTGCGGACGGCCCTGCCGTGGTCACTCAGGACTGCTCCTGTGTCCAGTGCCCTGGCTGGAGTGCTCACAACCTCCCTGATGTAACGACAGCCTTTCCCTGGAGATGTTTTCTCTCCACGTCCCCCACTCTGATCTCAATCAACTGCTTTTTATCTTAGGGGTCCCTCAGCACGTCTAGCATTCTTACTCTGTGCACGCAGGTGTGCACCCTTGTGAGCTTCTTTGATTTTTGTAAAAACATTTCCCACATCCCTTCAGGTGAGTGGGGGCCTTCCCAGCTCTGCCTGACGCTGCCCTGCCTGGGTGCAGCTGTGCCTAGAACCAGCGCAGACTCTGCGCCCCTCCTGCCTCCGGGCATGTCTGGAAAGTCGCCTTTGGGGGATAGGTGTGTTGGGGGAGTGGCTGGGTGATGTGGGAATGTCACGCTAGGTCTACCTGTCAGACACCTTTTTCCGTGTCGCTGGTTGTGTGTGCTGGCAGTCCTGTTACATGCTAGACAGAAGTGCTCATTCTCCTGGAAGTCAGTGTGGTGGTTTGGGATCTTTCCAGGCACTTCAAGAAAAGGCTGAGCTGCAGGCCCAGCTGGCCGCCCTGACCACCAGGCTGCAGGTGCAGGTGGAGCACAGCCGCAGCAGCCAGCAGCGGCAGGACTCCCTCAGCTTGGAGGTAGACACCTTGAAGCAGTCCTGCTGGGACCTGGAGCAAGCCATGACTGACCTGCAGAATATGCTGGAAGCCAAAAATGCCAGCCTGGCATCCTCCAACAACGACCTGAAGGTAGCGGAGGAGCAGTACCAGAGGCTCATGGCGAAAGTGGAAGACATGCAGAGCAACATCCTCAGCAGGGACAACACAGGTGAGGGCTGCCCAGCGAGGTGCGGGGGGTGGGGGGGAGCCCGGCTGTCACCACGTCATGTTTCTGTGGGGTGTGTGGTTTATAATTTATACTTAAGGTGTCCGCTTTTCTAAGGGAAATGGACTTTTTGGTTGACCCCATGGCATTCTGCACGTCTTTCCGTGAGTATCAGGGAAGTGACTGAGACCTTAGAAGGTGGCGTTGTTCCCTTGACCGCAGTGTTGTTGCTGCTACTCGTTCCGCCTTGAAAGTCCAGTGCTGTTCGGGGTGTAGGGCTGTCAGCTCGTTCCACAGAATAGCAGATGCTAATTACAATATTTATTTTTTTAATTTTAATTTTAATTTATTTATTTTTGAGACAAAGTCTCACTCTGTTGCCAGGGCTAGAGTGCCATGGCATCAGCCTAGCTCACAGCAACCTCAAACTCCTGGGCTCAGGCGATCCTCCTGCCTCAGCCTCCCGAGTAGCTGAGACTACAGGCATGTGCCACCACGCCCGGCTGATTTTTTCTATATGTATTTTTTAGTTGTCCAGCTAATTGCTTTCTATTTTTTTAGTAGAGACAGAACCTCGCTCTTGCTCAGGCTGGTCTCCAATTCCTAAGCTCAAATGATCCACCCGCCTCGGCCTCCCAGAGTGCTGGGATTACAGGCGTGAGCCACTGCGCCTGGCCTACTTAGAACATTTAAAAGGAACACTTAGGTTGCTGGAGCTCTTCACACTGTGTTCGGCCCTCTGGTCCAGCTGCCTCTGTAGGCCTGACCTGGGGAGTCGTGGGAGTGGAGTCGTGGAGTTGCGGGAGCCGTGGCGGCCCCCCGTAGTCAGCAGCGTGTCTTTCGCCGCCTTTGTGCGACCTGCCCGCCCTTGGGTGCTCCGTCCTCAGTCGCCCCCCAGAGCTGGTCTCAGAGTTGATGCTCTTACCCCATGGGGGACCGAGAAGATTCCGGTCTGCCTGCTCAGCCCGTGGCGGTGTGACCAGGAGCGGGAAGCAGAGGGCAGGCATGGTGGGAAGACTGACTGTCAGAGCCCACGGGGCGAAGAGTGACTCCTCGAAGACTGCTCAGATGAGGCTCTTCTCGGGGGGTTCGGGGCCGCCTGCTCGACAGGGGGGCCTTGGTGTGGCTGGTGTGAGGGCCGAGGCAGTGTGAGGCGCGGTCTCAGATCCGATGGTCACAGAGGCTCTCTTCTCGTGCTAGGAGAGAGAGCCAGCCAAGAAACAAAAAGCAGACATTTTATTTTTTATTTATTTATTTATTTATTTATTTTGAGACAGAGTCTTGCTTTGTTCCCCAGGCTAGAGTGAGTGCCGTGGCGTCTGCCTGGCTCACAGCAACCTCAATCTCCTGGGCTCAGGCGATCCTCCTGCCTCAGCCTCCCGAGTAGCTGGGACTACAGGCATGTGCCACCATGCCCGGCTAATTTTTTCTATATATATTAGTTGGCCAATTAATTTCTTTCTATTTACAGTAGAGACGGAGTCTCCTTCTTGCTCACACTGGTTTCAAACTCCTGACCTCGAGCATCCACCCGCTTCGGCCTCCCAGAGTGCTGGGATTACAGGCATGAGCCACCATGCCTGGCCTAGACTTTTTAAATTTTATTGATTTTTAAGTCTTTGAGTGCCTTATGAAACCCAGTCCCCTAGGAAAAACTGTAGAATCCAAAACATGCTTGAACACCAGACGCGTTTTGTGGCTCTGTGGCTCGCGAGGCTTCATCTGAGCAGTGTGCGCTGGGCAGCAGAACCGACATAGACTCAGGCAGGGCTGCTCGGTCCCGGCCCACAGCCCAGCGGGAGCGGCCACGGGGACACCGTGGCTGCCTGTTGGTGGCTGATGGACACCAGCAGACTGAAGAGGAGAGCCTCGGTGTCCCCCACAGTTGATTTTCAGTGTCACAGATTCCACAGCTGTGAATTTGCCTCTTAGATTTATTTACACCCCCAAATCATAACTCATAGAGCTTTAATAGTCGTTTGCAGACGCAAGCAGAGAGGCAAAACCTTACGTTGCCTGAAGCGCTCGGTTGTAGCCAAGGTGCCTTCTTGCTTCAGCTCAGACTGTGAACAAGTGTCCTTGACCTGGTCTCTTCAGTGCCATTTTTGTATTTTTGAGCGTTTTGGGGTGGTTCAGCTGTTAAAAATGTCTCAACCACTGGCTGGCAGTGTTAAGCGCAAGGAGGCTATGATGTGTTTTATGGAGAAGGTATGTTTCCCAGAGAAGCTTCACGTTCCTGTTGGCTGTGAGTTCAACATGAGCACATCAACATCACGTATCACGTAAGTTGTCTTTAAACAGAAACACACATGAACAAAGGTTCCCTATTGATCAGTTGATGAAAATGTGAACAGAGGCTTGGAGGACCTAACCTTACGTCTCCCGGGAGCAGTGGCTCAGTGTCTGCTGATGCGGTGTCCACATGGCTTTGTGAAATGTAATTCCTGAGAATAACCAGAATCAACTGTGTTTCTTGCTCTCTGCAGAGACAGCCCTCTGTGTGAGGGGTCCGCGCAGAGCCGTCGGCTCTCCTGCCTGTGGCCGTCAGCCTTAGCCGGCTGTCCTTGCTCCCTTGCAGTGCACGACCTGCGGCAGCAGATGACCGCCCTGCAGAGCCAGCTCCAGCAGGTGCAGCTGGAGCGCACAACACTGACCAGCAAGCTCAAGGCGTCACAGGCGGAGATCTCGTCCCTGCAGAACGTCCGGCAGTGGTATCAGCAGCAGCTCGCCCTGGCGCAGGAGGCCCGTGTCCGGCTGCAGGACGAGATGGCCCACATCCAGGTACCGCCCGGGCTCCCTTCCAGGGGAGACATGGGCACATGGCCTGGTAGGTCATGCCTCACGTCTTCATGTGGAACTGCAACTTTTCCCTAAATTAAAAAGATTTTTCACTGGTGCAGTGGCTCAGGCCTGTAATTCCAGCACTCTGGGAGGCCGAGGCAGGAGGATTGCTTGAGCTCAGGAGTTGGAGACCAGCATGAGCAATAGCAAGACTCCGTCTCTACTGAAACTAGAGTAAGATTAGCTGGACGTGGTGGCGTGCACCTGTACTCCCAGCTACTCAGGAGGCTGAGGCGAGAGAACCATGAGTTAGAGGCTGTAGTGCACTATGATTATGCCTGTGAATAACTACTGCACTCCAGACTGGGCAGCAGAGTGAGACCTCATCTCTGAAAAATGACATATAATATTTTAAAAAGGATTTTTCCTATTTTAGATTTCCCAGATACATTTTTTTAATCTGCTAACCACTAATCCCACCCACGCCATGTCCTGGACATGACCTGCCTCCGTGACCTTCTGACACGGGAGTCTCAGCTCCCGGGAGTGGTGCGTGTTGGGCGTCAGGCTGAGGGAGGGGGGCGCATGTGCTGGGTTTGGTCAGTTCAGATAAGGCTCCTCACCTTGAGGGCTCAGAGAGGCCCCTTCATTAGGAACCTCTTTTTATTTATTCATTTATTTTTTTGAGACAGAGTCTCTGTTGCCCGGGCTAGAGTGCCGTAGCGTCAGCCTACCTCACAGCAACCTCAAACTCCTGGGCTAAGGCAATCCTTCTGCCTCAGTCTCCCGAGTAGCTGGGACTACAGGCATGTGCCACCATGCCCGGCTAATTTTTTCTACTTTTTAGTAGAGACGGGGTCTCACTCTTGCTCAAGTTGGTCTCGAACCACTGAGCTCAAGCGATCCTCCCGCCTTGGCCTCCCAGAGTACTAGGATTACAGGCATGAGCCACCGGGCCTGGCCAGGAACCTATTTTTAGAGGCAGGGTCTTGCCATGCTGCCCAGGCTAGCCTCAAACTCCCAGGCTCAGGCAATCCCCTTGCCTCAGCCTCCTGAGTAGCTGGAACTCGCCATGTGCCACTGTGCCCAGCAATCGGTGGGAACTTCTCTGCAGGTCCAGCCGCACACTGCACAGTCTCGCTGTGTGTGGTGACCACTGGTGTCTGGGCTGCACATACAGCCCGGACAGCCTGCGTCTTGAGGTGGACGACACGTGGGGGGCAGCGGGGCTTGCGTGGGATACGTCAAGAGGGGCAGCCAGTGACCCTCACCCTGGGGTCCTGGGGACAGGCTGGTCTACGTTTCTTACTTGAAGTTGAGCAACTTTGTGCCTTGTGCCTTTTTTCTTTGCAGGTTGGACAGATGACCCAGGCAGGTCTCCTGGAGCACCTGAAACTCGAGAACGTGTCCCTGTCCCACCAGCTGACAGAGACGCAGCACAGGTCCATCAAGGAGAAGGAGCGCATAGCTGTCCAGCTCCAGAGCATCGAGGTGGGGCCCAGTGGCTGGTTTTTACCGGGTTTTGGGTCATGCTGGTGAGAGTAAAACACGTACACATATACATAGATACGGAATGTCTCTTCTTATACACGTATGCACACACACATGTACTTTAATACTTTCGAACAGCTTGCAGTGATAGCTGTGTGAGATTTGGGGGATCCATCCCTCATCTCTTACCTGTGAATGGGTCACACTTTGTTTGTTTTTTGTTTGTTTATTTGTTTTCTGAGACAGAGTCTCACTCTGTTGCCCCAGCTAGAGTGCCGTGGTGTCAGCCTAGCTCACAGCAACCTCAAACTCCTAGGCTCAAGGGATCCTTCTGCCTCAGCCTCCCCAGAAGCTGGGACTACAGGCATGCACCACCATGCCCGGCTAATTTTTTTTTCTATATATTTTTAGTTATCCAGCTAATTTCTTTCTATTTTCAGTAGAGACGGGATCTCATTCTTGCTCAGGCTGGTCTCGAACTCCTGAGCTCAAACAATCCACCTTCCTCGGCCTCTCAAAGTAGTAGGATTATAAGTGTGAGCCACCACGCCTGGCCCACACTTTGGAGCTGTTCTCCCCTAAGCCCTGCCCTGGGCCTGGCCACCTGGTCATTGCTGGCGGGGGACAGTACTGGGTGCCTGGTGGGTGGGGCGGAAAGGGCTTAGCACATCTAGGCGACTGACCGCGTCTCAGAGCCCAGTGGTGGTGAGTGTGTTCTCAGCCTGCTTTGTGTTCAGTCCTCCGGCCACCGCGTGGGGTTGCTGTGGTTCTGCCATCTGCCCGTTGAGAGCCTCCCCGGAGGATGGGAGATACACAGCTCTGGCTGGGTCTAGGTAGCTGTTCTCTTTTTAGCTGTGAGGCCCTGGGCGATTTCTTAACCTCGCTGAGCCTTGTTTCCTTCTTTATAAAGTGGGGAATAATAATACCTTCTTTTTTTGAGACAGAGTCTCACTTTGCTGCCCAGGCTAGAGTGAGTGCCGTGGCATCAGCCTAGCTCACAGCAACCTCAAACTCCTGGGCTCAGGCAATCCTCCTGTCTCAGCCTCCCAAGTAGCTGGGACTACAGGCATGCGCCACCATGCCCGGCTAATTTTTTTTTTTGTATATATATTTTTAGTTGCCCAATTAATTTCTTTCTACTTTTAGTAGAGACGGGGTCTTGGTCAGGCTGGTTTTGAACTCCTGACCTCCAGCAATCCGCCCGCCTGGGCCTCCCAGAGTGCTAGGATTACAGGCGTGAGCCACCGCGCCCGGCCAATAATACCTTCTTAATAGTCTTGTTGGAAAAAGTAATAAGAAAAAACAATGTGAAACCTCTCTGCAGGTGTGAGGTGGCCTTTTGTGCCTGGCTGTCTTTGCTGCTCTCAGGCACGTGGAAGGTCAGCTTTCCTCGACCACTGGGCTTCTTGTCTCTCGGGCCTCCTCCCTGGGGAAGATTCTGGGGGCTCATTGATGGGGATGATGGATGGCAGTCATGTCCTGCCAGCTGTAATGCTTCAAGGGCTCGGGGGGAAAAGAGCCAAAAAAGTTTTAAGCTATTAGTTTTAGGTTACAAACTAAAAAATGAATGTTTTTTTCCCTAAGAAGTGTAAGGAATGCTGAATTTGCTCCGTGGTCCCCTGGTGTCGCGTTTGTTTACCAGGTGGTATCAGGTGAGACTCTTATGAAAGAGAAAGTTCCATGTCTCACCCCAGAAGAAGGGACCTGCCACCCACCTGTCTTCATGGGAGAAACGGCCAGGGAGGCTTCCTGCCCCCAGCTGATCCCAGTTCTTGAGACTGGGTGGTTCACCTGCTTCTCTCCTGGGCCAGGCCTGTGGGTCGGCAGAGAGGAGGACTGGGCTGGGCTGGCCGGGAGAGGAGCCTGGTCACAGGGTCCACCCGGCCCCTCAAGCTGCAGGCTGTGGTGATGGGCATAGGAGGCCCTCTGCCAGGGCAGCAGGTTTGCCTATGAAGCGGGAGGTCTGCAGTCTGCTGTCGGGACCCGATTTGCCTGCTTTTTTGAAAACACCTTGTTTCCTGGGCGCAGGCTGACATGCTGGATCAGGAGGCGGCCTTTGTGCAGATCCAGGAGGCGAAGACGATGGTGGAGGAGGACCTGCAGAGGCGGCTGGAGGAGTTTGAAGATGAGAGGCAGCGGCTACAGACGGTGGCGGCCTCAGCGGCGTCCCTGGAGCAACAGCTAGAGCAGGCGAGTACCTGCTGCCACTTCAGTGCCGGCACCATGGGGCTGCACACAGGTAGCCGTGTGGCCCACTCGTGTCATCCGCCTCCGTGCAGGCCCAGGTGGGTCGTCTTCGGACCCGAGGGAGGGTCACGTCAGCAGACTCTGCTGCTACAGACCTGGCCGTGTGCTTGCTTCTGTTGGTGTCCTTCCACGTCAGGATTTTGCATAAAAAGTCCCTCCAAAGTATCCATCAGAATTAGTTAAAACCTGAACAGGGAGAAAGCATGAATTCTCGGGGTAGGGTGGAGAGCAGCCGTGTTGAACTTACTGTCTTTTGCTCAGGTTAGGTTGGCTTTGCAGCAGCGAGACCAGCAGCTGGAGGCTCTGCAGCAGGAGCACTTGGACCTGATGAAGCAGCTCACCTCGGCACAGGAGACGCTGCAGGCCCGGGAGCAGGCCCTGGGCGACCTGCAGACGCACTACGACGAGCTGCAGGCCCGGCTGGGGGAGCTGGAAGGGGAGGCGGCCTCGAGAGAGGATGAGGTCCGCTTCCTGCAGAACGAGAAGATCGTCTTGGAGGTGGCGCTGCAGGCGGCCAAGAGTAGCGAGGAGGAATTCGACAGAGGAGCAAAACGCCTAGAAGAAGGTGCCGAGGAAACGTCTGGAATTTTAGAGCAGTTGAGGGAAGACCTGGCCATCAAGTCCCGCCAGGTAATGTAGTCTGCCGTCGTTCTGTCAGGAATCAAGGTCACGTCCACAAGAGCGAGTGCCGACGCGTGGTCCTTTCTGTGGACGTGCTGCTTTGTAACATGGGTGACCACTAGGGAGGGGCGCGGAGCTCCGCTGGGGACGGGGTGACACCAGCATCTGTGCTTCTAGGCCCTGCCCTAGCTGCTTCTGGCCCTGCCCTAGTGGAGAAGTCCAGACCTGGGGAGCTGAATTTCATGCGCAGCTTTTGAGTATTCTCCCAGGAAGCACCGGTTTCTGTGCACTGGTGACGCGGAGCTAAGAGTCAGGAGCAGCTGTGGGAAACCTGGCTGTCCCTTCCCTGTGCCTGCGTGTGGCCCCACTGGCTCCCGGGCAGGGCAGCTGCAGTGTGAGGTGGTGCGTGGGGCGGGCAGGGTCCTGGAGCGTGTGGGCGTCCTCTGCAGGCACGTCATGCTGGGGAAGAGCTGACATGTGACGTGGCCTTGATGTAGGTAAACATGCTTAAACACGTAGACAGCATGGAAACTCCAGAGGACGTGGAGGGAGTAGAGTTCGTGTCGAGGAATGATCTTGTGTTTGAATCCCACTCTAAAGTGAAGCAGCCCAGAGAGAGAGTGCGACGCCGTGTGTTCTCGCAGTGGGAGCTGAATCCTATACACAAGGTCGCGAGTGTGGGGTGATGGACTCGGGGGCTCGCAGGGGTGGGGGGTCTGGGGCGAATGGACACTGAGAGCCCAGACCTCACCACCGTGCCCTGCGTCCACGGAACAAAACTACACTGCCCCCTAAGTCTGTAAACCTCAAAATAACTTTAAAAATAAATGACTCCCACTCTGTGAGTACCAAGGGCAAGAGGAAGTCACTGGGGAAAGTAAAACAGGAGGAGGCTGCCTGTCCCGACGGCGCTGAGTTTGCTCTGGGCTCCCTGCGCTGAGACGCGTCACAGTCACAGTGCTGGGGAGTCAATTTAGAGCAGTTGTCAGAATGCTGTCACTGAATTTGAATTTTATTTTACTGTTTGCTTGGTGAGAGGAACGTCAGCTGACATTTGGAAAACTCCAGAAGAGGCTTTTGGTGGTACCAGACTTTATTTATCATACTGAAATTCCACCTGCATCGTTACTGACAAAGGCGCTGGCAGTTACCTAATCCGAGTTCACCCTGGATGGAGATTGTTTGCCCCAGAACAGGTGGAGGTGGTGGTAGTGGTGGTGTTCCCATCTCGCCAGGCAGCTGCCTCTCTTCCTCTGATGGCCGTTTTCTTGACGTGGGAGCCAGAGCCAGCCTACCTGGGAACCAGACTGGCCCTGGCCCCAGCCTGCCTAGGTGCTGGCTGCTCACCAGCCTCGCTGGCTGGGCTGCGCCAGGCGTCTGGAAGCAGCACTGTCCACGTGGGGCTGGACGTTCGTCTGACCATGGCGCCCCTTTGCCTGGTGCCAAGCCTCTGCCCCAGCTGGAGCTGCTGTGGGATCAGGGGCAGGCGATGGGGACCTGTGGGAGGGGACGCATGACAGATGCAAAACAAAGCTGCGCTTTGATCCTTCTCAGGAGGGTTCCTGAAGGAGCCGCTCTCCAGAGCATAGCTCTGGGAAAACGGCTCATTTCCTGATCATGCCCACGTGATAACTAGGATTTGCGTGGAGTGTGTTCCTGTCAGAGGAGGAAAACTTTGGCCACGCAGAAGCTCTTGCCCATTTCTAGAGACTGTGACTCCAATTGCGAGCACTGAAAGCTGCATGTAAACGTGATCTCACAGGGCCACCTCGGGTGACACGGCATGTGGTGGCACCTCTGTCACACGGTGTGGACCAGTGCTTTCCGCATTCAGGGCCTGGTGTGTTTGTCACCTGTCACACGGTGTGGACCAGTGCTTTCCACGCCTGGGGCCTGGTGTGTTTGTCACCTGTCACACGGTGTAGACCAGTGCTTTCCGCATTCAGGGCCTGGTGTGTTGTCACCTGTCAACAGCGGTGTGGACCAGTGCTTTCCACCGCCTGGGCCTGGGTGTTGTCACCTGTCACACGTGTAGACCAGTGCTTTCCACGCCCAGGGCCTGGTGTGTTTGTCACCTGGTTGCTTTTATTTTTCTTAATTCGAGACAGGGCCCTCACTCTGTTGCCCAGGCTGGAGTGCAGAGGTGCATATTCACAGCTCACAGCAGCCTCCAACTCCTGGCTCGAGCCATCCTCATCACTCAGCCTCCCGAGTAGCTGGGACTACAGGCACCACCACGCCTGGCTCACCCGCCTTCTTAAGCATTTTGCTGAGGCAGAGTAGCATTTCCCAGCATGTCAGTGTCCCTGAACCCTCTGGGTTTCCATGTCTGACTCACACAGTCCGTCTGGGTAGGCGCGGGGGCTCGCATCTCGACAGCACACCAGTGAGCACAGACAGTTGGCCTCAAGCCCGGGGGTGCTATGGTCAGCCTGGGACCCAGCTACCAACCGAGCTTTGTAAGTTTGATTGAAACACAGTAAATCAAGTTTATTTACTTACGCGTCTATGGCTTTTGTGTCCAAGAGTGGTGCTGAGGAGCTGCCGCACCGTGGCCTGTGAACTGAATGTGTCATCACCTGGCGTCCCAGGAAAGGCTTTGCCACCTCCCGTGCCGAGCGGCCCCTGTCTCAGCCCTGCCCACTTCTTTCCCCACTTCCTTCCCCCTCCCATCCTGCTTTCCATGGTGAGAGCGGATCCCAGCTGCTCTCGGGTGCAAATGC